TTTTTTTTTCCAAATAATGAGTGGATAAATTTTACTATACTGTTCTATGGGCTGTCACAGATTCCAAGAATACATGTTGGACAGGTAGAAGCAGCGCAGGTGGTCAGGCAATTCTGAGGGAATGTAAAGACATCTCTGCCTGAATTAGAGTACAAACGCCTGGCAGAAACAGAGCTCAAATATGTTGCAGCAGATACCCAAGTCACATGACCATAGCTACTTAGCCAAGTGGAAGTCTGATCCTTGTAAAGTAAGAGTCAGGAATCCCTCTGGAGTACAAGCAGTAATGGCATAGTCAAATAGGCCTTCGTCTTTTAAATAATACAGGCTTCGCATCACGGCTATATTATGCGAAACCATCTCATATTTCACATTATTTGATGCTGATAATCTAAACACGAGTAATAACCCTTTGCTAAGCATAGGAGAAATTTCACACCTTTTTACCATCTTCAAATCTGAAAGGCAGAACCAACTTATGACTGAGGAGTGCTTCTGGCATTAAATGAAAAGCTCCTTTTAGGCCACTAAAAGCTTTGCTGGTCCAGGGCACGCTAGGAAAACTAGGAAATCACTGCGACGTGGACTTTTTCCCCCCCTCCCGAATAGACAACCATGAAAGGTGCATCATAACTGAAGAAGAAGTGAAAAACTGACCATGCTGACCGATTTTGTTACAGAATCTTTAAACCCTCTGCAGTACAATGCAAAAAGTAATGGCGAGCTCCCGGATTACGTGCATTACTTCAGTGAAGGCGATGAAATCCGACTGGAGTCACACCTGAAATTGTCAATAGCACTCTGCAGCTTCCTGCTGAGCACTTACTGCAAGAAGACAGTGCGGGAGCAGACGATATCTCGCCGTTAAATATTTACATCGTCTCCCACAGTGTGCTCAGGCATGACACACAACCTGAATCCAGCCATATTTTTCTCTCTCACATGCTGCAGGGAGAATTTCTTAAGGCTGCAAATGGATATGAATATGAAAAGAATAAGACACTGAAAGAACAAGAATCCTTTGTGATGGGTGGCTTGAAAAATTGATGTGGTACTCAAAGCTGGGCCCTTACTCAAGAGGTTCAGAGCAGATTAAAAGAAGTTTACCAGTGAGACAGTTGCCCACTAAAGTGCATCACTCAGCTTGTTGACTGGACAATTTTTACATGCCCGCTCATGACTGAGCAGCAAATCAAACAACCTAATATCTACATCACTCCAGCATGACAGCTAGGACTAAAATTACATAAACCAAGATTTAGAAATGCGTGATTGTCAGCTGTTGTGGCTGTACACATGACAGTACTTCCTTCACTTTCTCCCTGGTCCACCCCGCTGTGCAAAACAAGCTACAGTCAACAACATGAATAATGCAGTTCTCCTCAAGAGTCCTGCTGAAGCACGTCAGCCTGCGTGACTGAGAACTGAACCACTCATTTCCTTGGCTGGGAGAAACAACACTGCATTCGTCCAAAAACAGAGCTCTTCACTGCTCTGTCGCTTTGCCGAGCTATATCTATCTATCTATATATATATATATATATATATATATATGTATATATATATATATATATATATATATATATATATATATATCTATCTATATATATATATATATATCTCTATCTATATCTATATATATAGATATAGCCACACACCCCTTTTCTGGGTCACTTGTAAATTAGTTGGCGGTGCCAAGTGAAGTAATACCTAGGTATAATCTGCCCTGCAGTGGGAGTTACCTTAAACTAGATAGTCTGCAAGGAGTGAGGTCCAGAGATGGCTCAAGAGTGCGATACACACTTAAGACAAGGGCTTGAGACAGACTGATTTGTTGCTCATGAAGGATAGAGACCAAAAAAGCAAGCTGATTATTCAGAGATTAAGATATTTGCATGAAAATACGAGATGAGCGATTGTCTCAGCTTAGCATAAAGGGGGGCAGGGGCAAAGCTAAAAGTGTTCCAGTGGATGAAAACAGTGAACAATGGAGCTGTAAAATAGAGCACAATACACTATGTATGTGGACAGTAATACATTGTGGTTGACAGTGCTGGGGAGCCTTTAAACACACATGCACTACTGTTATAAGTGGGCAGATGGACCAACAGCCGCCTTCTGGAGCACTGGGGTCATTCAGGGAGATAAGTGACTTCATCCCAGTTGTCAGCAGCACTGCACCCCACCTGACAATGACTTATGTACTAATTAGGGGAGCTTCACCAAGTGTACAGAAGCAGACTACTGCAGAGCAAACAAAGCTGTGAAGCAGATAAACCTCAAGAGACGGAGAGGAAAAAGAAAAGAAAAAAATACAACAGTAGTTTTACAATCACTGAAAGGCTAGAAATGGGACACAGACAGAAATGGGACATTCAAAGCACGTCAATATATCATTAAAATAAATTTCGAATATTATATGAACATTAGACTACAGCCAATCAAACTTAAAACTTACTCCTGTAGTTACACTAATTTATATACAACCACAATAAAAGCATTTGTTTTCAGTACTGAAAACTGACTAGGAAATAAGAAGCTTGCTGTAAACTGTTACTGTTTGACATCTGACACCTCGCTGAGTGCAGCGCAATGCAACGGCCTCATATGGGGAAAAGTTTCCAACTACTGTGGCGACTTATTAGATTCACTGCGAAGCCTATATATTTAAAAAAGAAAAAACCCACTGCAGTGTCCCACACCTTCAACAGCATAGCGGTGTAACCGCTTTATCTGATAACTTATTGTGCTAAATGACACAACAAAGAGATACACGCAAGCTAGCAGCAAGATCGTATGTCATGGGTTGACTGTCGGAATCTAGCTAGCTTAGCTGGCTAATGCTAGCGAGCCACAAAAATTTGAGTTAACACCAAGTACCTAGATAAACACTGATTTTCACAATGCCGCAGATCCGAATAAACAAGATGATATATGCTGTAATTAATCATCCTAATGACGCTAGTAAATATAAGCATATTCAGTAGAAAATAACTAAAAGTTTGGAAACTGCTCTTAACTAGAGTGCTAGCTCGGCTAGCTTAGCATTTACCTTGTCAGAGTCGAGCTCGGGGTCAGCTTGGCTCAGTCTGTACAGAAATGATTTTGGGTCTCGACACAGCGTCTGTCTCGTAGTTAAAAAATAGGTTCCCCCGACATTTAGTCGAATCCATTTTGAAGCCCCGACCCCAGCTGAAACGTTTCGCTCCGCCGAAGAATGGCCCAAACATCTCCGGTGAACGGAGCCGCTTGTCTCGGAGCTGTTCTCTGCCATTCCTCTCCTCGCCTCCTCCGCCCTCGGCTCGGCACGGCTCTGTCTGTGCGGCTCACAGGAAATATCGGAGGTGCAGCCACAAACTTCGAGTCCGCGATTCATGCAAAGCAAACTGCCAGCTCCTCAGTTCAGCCACTCCTACTAACCTACTCCACCAGCACTAACAGACACTTGCATAAATTATTCCAGAGAAAAGAGGCCCTCCCCGGCTTGATCTCTGACGCGTCAGCATGGAGAACAAAATCTCTTGATACGGAGAGCCTGTAAATATCATTGTGAGTGAAAATGCACATCTTTGGAACTGAGGTGGAAAAAATAAATCTTAGATTTCGTGTACTCCTATGGTTGTCACTGAATACTTAAAGTATTTACACAAGCTTGTCAAGTTAGCACTAAAGCGCGTTAAAGTAATTTTCAGGACACAAAAACAGTGATAATGAGCCGGTACTTTATTTACATGCTGCAAAATGTGAGATGCCATTGCCACTGAATGATGCGGTTTCTTGACTGTCATGACCCAGGCTGTTGACAGAAGACAGGACACATGGCTTTATTGGTATGCCTAAATCCCTACATGCTTTAATTACTGGACTACCAAGCATTAAGTGGAAAATTCATCATTCAACATCTACTGACCTAGCGCACAAATAATCAGAGAGAATGAACAGATTCATTAAATTATCAGAATATGATTAAATCACTGAGCAAATAGAAAATGTATGATATAGTAAGAAAAAAGCTGTAAAATATTATAGTTTACAATAATTATTCACATTCAAAGGCTTTACATCTCAATACATACACAACATGGCCCCTGAACATGACTTCAATCCAAATATGATTCATATATTAGAATTTAAATAACACAGAATGAACTATAGGCTAAACAATAGCCATCAAATAACCTTATACAAGAATAAAAATACAAAAACTGTATCCTAATATCATTGCATTACTTGCTTCAGATTTTAATAATACATCATCTGTACATCACAGTTCTAGTCAGTTACAAGCCAGGTAGAGCTTCTACATACAATGTAACCGACTGCCATCGACTTGATTCAAACAATTTTTCTAACTAGAAGGGAAAACACTTCTCGTGCTTCCTCAACTTTATAGACAGATACAGCAATTTCATCGGTTATTTGGATGAGATAGATATTCTTTGACTGACATCCAACCACATCTGGCCCTGGGCCAGAGGGTCCCCAGTCACACACTGCACATACAGACTCAGCTGAAGGAAGAGGACCTTTGGAAAGACCGTAAGGTACTATGACAAAAAAATTAAAAGCATTATGATAATACATATTTCTAAAACAAGAGCACAAGTTAAATCAATCGGTTTAATTTCTATTGGGCCAAACATCAGAATGAAAAAAAAAAAATTAAAAAAAAAATTAAAAATAGGCCAATGAGCCCAATGAGGCAGTTTTGCCATATTGTCCAGGGACAACAGCTTTACTGTGATTGCTTCTGAAAATGATAGTATGTGTATGCATCTCTGTTGATGATGGTGGTTTTTTGTTCAGCATGGGGTGGTCAGCACATAAGATTTTGTTTTGAATAGGGCATACTGAAGATGAGTGAACTATTCCACCAAATAAAAAAACCAAAGAAAAATAAAAAAATTAAGAACTCACACCACAAAAGAAATAGCCAGTGAATGGTACAGAACAACCAAATCATTCAACAATAGTCTCTATGGTTTCCAATGCAGTCAAAAATACCCACCTTTACTTGAATAAACTTTATCTCCAGTGCCCTAGGAGAGAAGCGGACAAGGCTGAGCTACAAAAACTGGCCATGCAGGAAAGATAAGCAAGTTATGATTAGGAAGTACAAGCTAGTGGCATGTTTACCCACCCCCCTGTTAGCAAAACATCCTCGGCTATGGAAGGCTCATACTTATACAGAGACTGGTTCAGACCCACGTCTCACTGCAGACCGGCACTCTGCATTATTATATAGAGACCTTAACTGCAATAAGCAAAGTACCGAGAGACTAAAAAAAAACAACTCAAATACCGAGGGAAATATTTGGGTTCTGACAAAAATAGAGAGGATCTGAGTTTGGTAAACGTGTGAGACTGAACCATTTTACAGTATCTATAGAGTATATGCACTAAAAGTGGGGCTTGACTACAGCTTGCACATACAATGTAGGATTAGGATATGGTTTAATAAAGATATCATGAGAGGCGCTGGTCCACAAAAGCAAGATTTTGTGTCATCATCGAAGCAGGAAACCAGTCCTTGCGTTTGAGATAGTCGCAGCGGTACCCAACTTGTCACTCTACAAGACAAAGCTTGTCCTCCTCCCCCCCTTGCCCACCCCCGCAGAATGTACAAAAAGCAGATGTGCATGGTGGAAGTCTTATCATCCATACATGGAAAAATGCAATAGAAGCCTCACAGAGAGCACAAAGAACAAGCAAAGCAACCCTAAATCCAAAGTTGTATTTTTCCCATGGTTCTACTCAGGAAAACAAACAAGGTCTAGATGCCAGCGTCTCTAAGAGTTTGTTTACATTGCGGTGATGAAGGGCACTAAAGAGGGTGTTACTCTGCTCAGTGATTGGCCTCAGAGCTAAAGAGGAGTGGGCACAGGGTGAACCTGTGCTCCTATAGGCCAGGGTTTTGGTGCCTTTGATAGATCTTTCTCCACACTTCCTGGATCTTCTTACACCATCTGTCTGCATTCCCGCTGGGGTCCATCAAATAGTATGTCCGGTTAGGCTGCAAACATCATAGGAAAAACATTTACATATTTTTTAAATTTATTTTATATAAAACTGAAGGAAAATATTAAGATCTGTCAAAAAGGCATCACAAATCAATAATTGTGTACCGTGTGAACAAAGAAGGTTTTGAAGTTCTTGGCCTCGGGGCGTAACTCTAAGGACCAAGGAATCTCCCCCTTCAGGACCCTGTTGACAGGATCCACGTAGTACAGGTGTGGTCCTTCAGTGAGAAGCAGCTGTCTCCGTCGGGCGAACAGACCCTGCAAAGGAATGCAAACATCTCATTGCTTCACCAACAGAGGGGGCTACGAGGCCAGTGACACTTTTGCACAGTACAACAGGGAATTCCCCTTTACTTCCCATTTGACAGCAGTGAAAAGCAAAGGGAAGTGACTTCACTGATCTGTAGCCAACTCAAACTGGAAAACTCCACAGAGTCTAGCTGGCAGAATAGTGTAAAGTACTAAAAGATGTCTTTTTTTTAAATACTGAAACAATGCAATAAAGTAATATTAAGGATTCAAATATATGCTGTAGAATTCACACATACCTTTCGTTTATCCACTGGGCCCATTTTCAGGATTAGGTTATTCTCCACAAACTGGTGCCTGTGTTGATACACAAAAACGCAAATGGTAACTACACAATTTTTTAAAAACAAAGTAACATAACTAATTGTTAATCCACATTTCTAAATCATTCACCAAAAATCTCTTACGGTTTCCAGTGCAGTGAAAAATATTTCCAGGATACAAGAAAGACATTGATTCAAAATTGGTTTTGATATACATCCAACAAAGAACAGCACATGACACAGACATTTTAACAGGGATGGAGAGATGGAAGGGGTTACCAGGGGTTTCCAGTGGTCTGTTTATCCAGCAATAACTGCTTCTCTTCTTCAGTGAACTGCAGGTCCAGCTCAAAGGAGTTGTTGTCCAGGTCGTGGATATACTGCTCAATGTTGCTGCTGGACCTCTGCGGCGGCGTCGAGTCATGTGGCGACAGGGAGTGTGATGAGCTGGACGGGGCCACCTGCATGTTGCTGAACTGGCTCAGGAGGTCATCGTACTGAGAGTCAAAGAGACAGTGTCTCGTTATGAAAGGTGCATTGATGTTATGCTGATAATTTATGACTTGTTTACAGTTTGGATGAATCTCTAAGCTTCAACAAGGTCTCAAACCTGATGCTCTCTTTGAATGAGCAAACAACAGACCAAAACAAACAAAAAAAACATACCAAGACTGTTACCATAGTAAAGTAAAATATCTTACATTTCCATAGCAGTCCTCATCATCTTCAGACATTGCTGGCAGGTAGGGTGTGAGCTTGGGAGGTGTCTGTAGGTGAAGGTCACTCCAGGAGATGGTGTCAAAGAAGGGGTGCTGCTTCAGTGGTTCGTACCCTCCCATCTCTTCACAGCCAAGCCGCTTGGTTGGGTCCAATGACTGAAATTTAAATAAAATGTAAATAGCCAACTTCTAAACAGGTAACTGATTAACTTATTTCCAAATTATTACCAAAGGAGGTTGAAATGTGTTATTGTGATATGCAATGACATACCAAAAGCCGTTCAACAAGATCCTTAGCTTTGGGGAAGAATTTCTCTGGGAATTCATACTCCAGCTTTATTATTTTCTGGAATATCAGGTACTCATTTCTACAGCAATTAAAGAGAAAAGAAAAAGTGTAACTAGTGAACATTGGTGTGTTTGGTTCAGATTTTTTGCACTTGAAAAAAACAATTAAGAAAAATTGAGTTTTGTAAACACAGTAGTTCTTACCCAGCTCTGAATGGTGGTAAACCCGCCACTAGCTGATAGATAATACATCCCAAGGCCCACAGGTCAGAGCTAAAAATTAAAAAGTAAACAGTTATAAAATTGCAGGAATGATGCCCACCCTGAGCTGAAAAACCTAATAAAAATCTCATTACCTCTTGCAGGCTGATTTCTCTGTTAGTAGCTCTGGAGACACATACTGCGCTGTTCCAACAAACGAGTTTGCTCTCGCTGCCAAAAAAAACCCCCAAACAAACAAACAAACAAACAAAAGGGTAAAAAGACAAGTTCTCCTTTCTTAAACATGTTCTATGCAGCATGTATTAAATGCTTTTCTACTGTGCAAAAAGATTGTAATCTAACATAGGTGACAAGCTTACAAGTTACTTCACCAGCTACAAAGATTGCATTGCTTTCAGCCATAATCAAACCACAGAACAAAGCTGATGTGTAACCGTCAACTGCTTTCTACAGTCAAAGCAAAAGCAGGGGCAGTTACCCAAGTTAGCTATAATTCTGTTAGTAGCATGAACAAGTGAACTTTGTCAATATATTGGATTCACTCAGTGATATTAATAACAGCAGATTTCTGAAACTTATGCTCAGTCCCTTGAGGTCAGTTAA